TACCCGCGAGCGGACGGACTTTTAAACCTATGCGTACGGTTAATAAGCATGCTCGGCATCGTGGCGACCTCCAAGGGTTTAATCGGTTTCTTAAATTACTGCAAATTTAGCAGGACTGTTTTCATTAGCATATCTTAGCATACACCTGTAGTCACCCACAAACATATACAATGTATTTACACAATCGTGAGCAGAACCCTATAGCATAGGCTGACTACAGTACGCTAAAAGCTTACTGTGTATATTATATTTATATAGCAGATAGCTCATATTGGCAAAATAGGTGATAAACTTGAAGGGCAATTTTGAAAAAAAAAAAAAAACCCACCCCAAAAAAAAAGCACCCAACCAAAAAACCCAAACCCCCACCACAAAACAAGCCAGGAATAGTTAGTATGTGCGTGCATGTGAGATGTTGAGACAACTGACTACAAATAATGAGTTGCTTACCTTTAATTTTTATTTTAGTATGTCCCCCAGAAGCACTGAAAATGCCTGTACAGAGCTGCTGGAGCTGAGGAGTTGCTGGAGTGAGTCTCCAAAGAGTGGTAGAGGGGGATGCAGCTCTGTCCTTATTAGTCTCACACAGTGTGACCCTCCCACTCAGTCAGCACAGAATACTCTGCAAGAAAGGACAAACAGCCACCCAGACACGGATTCTACAGAATCATACTTGTATATCCCAAGTCCAGTTACAATGTAAGAAATGGCGTTTTTCTCCCTCCTGCGCCCCCCCCCCCCCAAAAAAAAACCAAACCCAAAACAGTTCCATAAATTAAACTGCCAGAGTATGAACACATGAATGAAAGAGTATCTGGTTTCTAGTTGCAAAGAACCAATTACGTGCATTAGTACACGGGCAGAAACAAGCTTTTATCACTTAAGTGTAAGCACACATCATTAATTTTATATACTTTATCATAAATTTAAAAATCAGCCACCCAAGTAACCACAAGAGTGCACCTATTTATGGCACTGATGCTGCAAAGCACTGCAGATTACTGACAACTGCTTTGCCTTTTAAAATCTATCGTTTACAAACCTGAATGTTCTCGCCCTGTAACATCATCTGTCTGTGATGAAAGGGTGAGACTGAGCGCTGCCGCTGGCGCTCATCTGAATGTGTGAAACTGCACTTTTCTCAGGTTCTCCAAGGGTGCTTGTGGCAGTTTTCCATACTGCATTTCAAAGATGTAAACCAGACAGAAGGATAGAGAAAAGTAAAATTACTAGAAATACATACACAGAAGAGAGAGAGAGTAGGGCTTTAATTAAATATATCTCACTTATATATATCTGAGACACATTTTATCTTTTTCTAGTAGGATCATTGTGATGGGGGAAAAAAGGAAGGTGGTGACTATTATATGAAAATTTATTAGTTTAGCATCAATTTAGCCCAACTGGTCTTCAGGTCAGAAAATGCATAGGCACACCCCCACCCCCCACTCCCCACCTCCCCAGTTTTGAAAAGAGTTTCCTCATTTCAACCAAGATAACTAGCCAGGTTAACCAACAAATCACATGGGAAGACACGATTATCTTTCTGGTTTAAATTTCAAAACAGTTGTTGTTCTTCCCAACTTAGAATCACGAGAGAAAGATGAAATCGCAGCTTACGTACATGTCTGCTAGGGTGTTTTATTCCACAACTTTGCCAGAGACTTGTGGTGTAACTTTAGGCAAGTCACACTTCTCGCTTGCTCATTCTGTAAATTATAGAAAGCAAAGCTGCCTTACCTCGCAGGGTGAGGTGCAAGAGCCCAGTCCTACAGCTGACAAATCATCTGAGCACTCCCTTCCCCTCCAGACTGTTCGTTTGATAAAGGCTTCAGTGTTGAGCCCTAATTCAGTGTTCCAAGCAGAGTTGCGAGATCCTCAGTTGAAAGACCCTTTGTAAAAGCTCTGCTCCTAGTGAAAGGCATTATATTTTTTTATTTGAAAAGAACTGCATTTGTCATTGCTCTTTCAAGCTACAAAATTCTTAAAATGTTTTTGTTTTACTTCATTTTACATGCCCTAAATGTGTGGATTCAGCTGTGTTACATGAATATACACAGTCTTATTAATTTCAATGAATATAAACTCTGAATTAGCTAAATATTTTACTTGTGTAACACTTCACACATACAATCAGTTCATCCTTTAAAGAAATATTTCTGTCCCTCAAAGTTCCTCTGTTGCTCAAAAGTCCAGATCCAAGCAAGGCCTTCATTTCCTATGAAGCAATAATGAAACATAACCCCTAATCCAAGGACGTTGTTCCACTGACCGAGATACCAACATTCCAAATAGAAAATTAAAAATACCTTATTGGGACCCTGTCAACTTCAAAACACTCCAGATCCGTATGAAAGCAGTAAGTAGAAGAATTAGGAACTACTACAACCTTCCCTGGCTAGCACATAGGCTTCCTGTGCTCTGGCCCAGATCTTCAACTAAACAGGATTATGCCAGTTCACATAAATCAAAGGAATTACACCGATTTGTACCATTTGAGGACCTTGATGTTAGGGACTGCCACCATACATATTGATGGACAACACTGTTCACATTAACAAATATGGTCTTGAATATCTAGTGACATGAAAACTGGGAACAAGGAAAACCTTATTGTTTACAAACAATTCTGTCCCAAGCCAAAAAAAAAACCTGCTTCCCTCTCTGCCTCCCACAATGTAAGAAGCAAAGCCACAACTGGCAAAGCATCTGTTACCACGAACAGCTTAGAAATCCCAACCACCTGCACTCTTGTTCACCTGCAAACAGTTACTGGTGCACTCTGGAGAAAACACTGTGCATTGTCTCATCTCCTTCGTATCTGTGAAGTACTGGAAAAGCTGACAATAGGACCTGAAGCACTCTCAGCAAACGGGCGATAGCACGCGTTATCTTTGCAGTTAACACAGTTTTCCAGCCAACTCAGACTTTAGCTAAAGCATTTACTTGCACACAGAAGACTGGATTAAACCCCGATCCAGGCAAGAGCCAAGGAAAATACACCAAGCAGCAAAAAAGAGAGAAATTAAAGTTTGAAACCATACTTAGCACAGACACGCAGAGCACGTTCCCACTCCAGCGCCACGAGTGAACGGCTCCACTGAACAGCTTTCACTACAACTGCAGTTGCAGGCAAGATGCAGGGGAAAAAGGTGAGAGAATCAGGGGGCAAAGGGACATTTATTTTTTGTAGAAAATTTTTCTTTATTGCAAACACTGACTTTCAACCTTTGTTTCTTTTTCGGCACGATTAGATACCCAAACCAGCCAAGTAGCATAATTCATTCTTGACTGTGTGCTGCTAGCAGATTTCTCTCCATCTCGTTAGACCCACATTTTTAACTTGTGTTGCTTATGACAACACATATGCAGGAATGAAGCTGTTAACTTTGA